GTGGACTACAGCCCACTTCTTTGGATGCATCCGAAGAAGTGGGCTGTAGTCCACGAAAGCTTATGCTCTAATAAATTTGTTAGTCTCTAAGGTGCCACAAGTACTCCTGTTCTTCTTTTTGTTGTTTCTTTAGGTACCTAAATCTGGGTTTAACGGATAACTTTTAGGCACCCACATCTGAACATTTTGCCAAAGTGACTTGCCCACAGTCACACAGGCAGGAATAGACTCCTGAGCCCCTGCCTTGCAACTTTAATACACAATCCTCTGGGGATGTAAAATTCTGGACAGCTGGACTAATCTATACAATCCTAAAATGGATTGAGTATGAGAAAGGACTTACAAAACTTCCCTTCACCAATTATAACAGTAACTAAAATGTTAAACTTAAATGGAAGAAATGCTTACCTGGCCATCAGAGATGAAGTTTGAAGCTTGCTAGATTATGGTGGGGTATCTTGCAAGGTTTTGGGATATAAAGCATTTGCAACACCCACTGGCATTATCATATATCCAAAATTATTATTTATTATGTCCAAATGGTTGCTTAAAGGTAACTTTCATAACTAATTAGAATGCAATCCCTAGAATAACCTTTGTCATTCAGAAAATGTAATTACCATTCTTGTATAATCTGTGTGGACTCCAGGAAAGATAAGACACTAGGAGTCAGAGTCTACCCCCCTTTGCTGTATATTTGCACTGATCCTCCAACACAGACCTGCCATAAATATGGTGGATTCCCCTTGGGAATCCTTCTCCACAGAGGGATCCTCTACTGCCATAGAGCCACTGTAGCCAAAAGTAATGAACAGAGTGTGGGTAGTGAAAAGGAACATGCATAATTTTATTCATATAAGAAACTCCATTGAATTCACATTTTTTTGATTACTGGATTAGTAGTTTTGATTTTGTTTTTGGGGGACAAAGAAGGACCCTTCCTCAATGTACTGGTTAACTATTGTTTTCTTCTTCAGTCCTCCACACTTCCTTACTACCCTGATATCTGTTATAGGAAGCACAGGGCTTCCAAAGACCCATAGATTTCTGAATGACATGTGTTTGATTGTCCACATATATATTATGTCTCACCTGGTAATTGTAACTGGATTTATTAATTATTTTTTTAAATCCGGCTATAGTCTTCTGTCCTCCATATTTATAGCTGTAAAACAGTATCTCTTTTAGACAACTGCAATTTAGTTGTGGTTTCCTGCTGACTTTGGTTTGCAGGAACCTGTGTATTTCCCAGCTTAATGTTCTCCTCTGCTAATGATTTGCCAAATGGACATACAACATTTTTCATTTCCTATAAACACGTTGTGCATCAATATGGAATTTAGTACTATCATGAACAAAAAAAATCGTTAATTTGTCTTTATTCAGAACTTGTACTGTCTAAATTCCCATTGAAGTTGGTGAAAGTTTTGGCCAGATTAAGGACTAAGAAAATACTAGGGGTCAGATTCTGATATGTGGACTGAAATTGAGTAATGCCTTCCTCTTTTAGTAGTCCAATTGATTTCAAAGACCCTTACGGATGTTGAATAGGACTTTCTCCTGGAGTAGTCCTGTTCATTTCAATGGGACTACTCAAGCAGTGAGTTGCTACTCACTATCAGAATCTGATAACCTCAGGGATTTGGGGTGAAATCCTGGCTCAGTTGACAACAACCACACAACTCCAGTTGAATTCAGTAGGTCCAGGATTTTACCTTAGTCTCCAGCTTGTGTTGTTTTCTCTGTATAAGGGCAAACTAACTTTCCTCAGCAACTGGAAAATGTATCTAGTTGACAATAATTCCAGACTCCCTTA